AACAGAGTGCTGGATCTTTGGAGGAGCCAGACAGATTCAGAAAGGTATGACAGTTTCTTCTTATTACAATATTTGGCCAGGCATTTTGCAGAAAATTACTTCAAACTTTTCTAAAGATTCTTGAAATTTATTTGTATATTAGGAGCCACTTTTAAAGAAGTTGTTGATTTTCTCCTGATTTTTAAAAGGAAAAATATTACAGAATTTTTACTCTTGAGCTAGGCTACTGTATCTCTAGAAGCTAAATATCCTGGGAGAGGAGGGGAACTCAGTTATTATATATCTACATGCTATATGAACTTAATTGTTTTTCAAAAGAGACTAAGGAAGTGCCAAAATATCTCTCTAAAGTATTTAGTGGTTAAGTACCTAAAATAATTTTTAAAATGGGACTTATAATTCTTCAGACACTTCTGAAAAAAAACACTTTGGGTCAATCAGCCCACCTTCTTTCTAATGCAGAAAGTCAAGCRATTTGTATAATGTTATTAGACTAAATCCTTATTCTAAGCAGCAGAATTCCTCCTGTGATGGATTTTCTTTTTGAAGTGATGACATGAGAAACAGAAGCAGTACAGGACATGATAAAGAGAAGCTAAAGAAAACAAAATACTGCCAGTTTCTTATTAAACCAAGCAGCACTTCTGATGCCATTTTCATAAAGTCARCAAGTTTTTCTGTCACAATTTGTTTTGTTTATAGACGCTGTTCTGCTTTGTACTGTCATCTCACTTTCCATTTGTTTTCTGAGGGAATAGAATAAGGCTTTATTTGCCCAGTACTAAGGAGATTGGATGAATAATRTGTTGCAGGAGAATAATCACGTAGTCATTTTACAGAAAATCAAACCTTTGATTTTTCCTGTTGCAACATCTCTGTAGAAGAGACGAAAAAGGGTGCAGTACAATGCACTTCAAATATGGCCAGAAATCAAGACTTTCTTTATTCTGATGAGATATTCCTCTAATACTCAAATGTGGAGTAGCAGCTCCAGTTTTTTTACCCTGCAAAACAACTGACCATTTTTTAGGTACTTCTCACACTTTCCTCAGTAGTTTTGGCTGCAGTTCAGCCTTCCTGAAAACCCCCAAAGACTTTCTGTTCTTGCCTGTCTGGCTCAACATTAATTGTTTCATCCAGTAAGGTCACCAAAATTTTTCAGGCTCAAAAAACAGTATGACATTTTAATACTTAGTGTAGAGGCAGCCAAACATTTACTAGTGCTGCTTTACCCCAGAAGAGGCTCAAAGGGATATTCCAGAAGACTGACCAAGGAATTCTCTAGTTTCATCTTATTGGTTGGGTCAAGTTTTTTGTAGGGAAAAGCAAAACAAGAGCTTTAGGCATAAGCATGTCTCCTCTACAGTTAGATGCCATTTTTAATTCATCTGCCTCACCTCCCTTGGGGTACTGGTATTCACCCTTAAATTCTCTGAATTAGACTGAAGTCTTCAGTCAATTTTCAAAGATACTGTCTTAACAGAATGGCAGGCAGCAAATGTTTGTCAATTAGGCCTGCAGCAAGAGCACAAAAACACCCCAATCTGTGAGTTTTTAATAGCTACTGAACACAAACAAAAAGAAACAGCTCAGGGTGGGAAGGAATGAAGAACTGAAATACCTCATAAGCATGAGGGAAATGGCTCCCATTGCACTCACAAGTGATTTGCAGTTTCCCTTCAGCTAGTGCAGATGTTGCTGTAACTTACACTCTGCTCACTTCAGTGAGATTTCGCTGACCTCAGGGCTTTCAATCTCTGTTTAAACAGTATCACTGCAACAAGAATCCAAGTGCTGTAAGCAGAAGTGTCTTTTTTTTTTTCTTCATTCAGATTTTATCAGGATATGAGCCGGTGTTGCCATAAGGTTTTTGAGCACCAGTTAAGAGAGCCAGAAAATAATGTTGACTCCTTTTCGGTGTRTCATTGTTTGGCCTAAGAAAAGAAGAAAAATAGGCCAACTGCAGAATTCTAAGCTATGCAGTTTACTTTAAATTCAGATTGAACATATAAAATGTGGCTAAATGAAAGAAAGATTAAGCAAAATATTTTTGTATGCATAAATACCTTTTCAAAGCTATGGTAAAGGAAGCCAACTACCTTGAAGAGAATGGCTGATCTCAGGAGTTAGTATCTGCAGGAAGAGCAGATGGCTGCATCGCTGTGTTTGCAACAGCCAGTGAGTTTGCATAAAATAAGATCAGGTTAGCTCTAATTTGTCAGCTCCCTCATGCTCTTGAGTCACACAAAATCAGCAGAAGTGGCAGAAGTTGAGGTATTTTTGGACTTATCTCTTCTTTTTGCAGCACAAGGTCCCTAGTGACTCTCCTTGTCTCCCCTGTTTGAGCTGTGAATATTTTGCAGCAGCAGCAGATCAACATGGAGAAGGGAAAGACCAGCTGTGACCATTTTCATTCCATTGCCCTCTGATTTTATTCAATTTCTAGCCTACATGGCCATATTGGACAGAATAGAGCCTGTTCCCTGTATAGTAATGTGCTTTTTTTCTGATCATTCATCCATTGCTGAGGACGTGTCCCTACCATTGGTGCCCTTAGGAGCAGAACAGCCTAATGATTGTGATGTGAGTGACTTCTTGTTGATTAACAAAAAGCAGTTGCAGGAAATTGCACTGGCTGCAGCGAATTTTTAGCAGGTGCCAGTGACAGCCAACGTAGATGGATATTTCTGCAGGGTACCTAGCACACTCAAGAACATAATCAAGCAAGTGCTCAATAATAACTATGATAAATGTTACTTTCAAAGGTTGGCTCCCAGCTACCTGAAAATATTCCACAAGCATTCTCAGCATAAACAGGAAGTTGAAGCCTCATTATTTACAGGTCTAGGTAGCACTATTTAATTTATTTTCTCAAGTGCTCAGAGTAATTACACTTCCTTGGTAAACAAACAGTCTGGCTTTATTGTTTGTACAAACAAAATAATTAGAATTCATTACATGAGTGGTCAGCTAATTGCTTCCTTTGAGATTCTGCTAAGAGTAATCTCCTGTAACATACAGACAGAAGGAACATGTAATTTAATCTCATTTAGAGACACCATTGATCTGGAGTCAATCAAATTAATGCAGTCATTTGGAAACTGCAAAGCAAGAGCTGCCACAGCTTGCCAGGAAGAAAACAGTAATGTGCTCTGCTCTGCCCAAGTGCARATATGATGGGAGGGAGTTCCTCATGGCAGAAAAGCACAGCATTGTGTGTTAGTGCCTGTGCTGGTAGTGCCTCTCTATTGAAAGTGTGTGGCCCATTTGTTTTCCTCAAGTCCTGMTAGGTGTAACCCACTTGAAATCTTCTGTACAATTACATTCATAGTAAATTACATACATGCTAAAATGAAAAAAACTACTAAAAGTCATTTTTCCATCAGTTTTCAATACGTCTTTTATAGATAATGTCTCTCCATTATTTTTTATCACTCTGCCCAAAAGCCTGTGCTTACCTGTTTTAGAAATTATACCATAACCCAAACACAGGATAAAGGACATCTTAGCATTAAAAATTAATAGATAACCTTATTTTCTCCCAACAGTTATGTTTGCTCAAAAGGAAACTTAGTAAAAAAAAAAACAACAAAAAAACCCAACCAACCAACCAAATAAACCTCCCCACAAGAAAAAACACAAAAAAAACCCCAAAACCAAACCAAACAAAACAACAAAGAAACCCACAACCCACCTCCAGAAAAATTCCAACTGCCCATTACTATCTCAGACCCACTGTTAAATATGCTGAGCCAGGCAGCGACATCCCCTTCCTTTTCCAGCAGGCTCACAAGCCTCCCTTCACATTGCTGCATCTGTGAGACTCCCTGCCAGTCTGCTCTTATTTCTATAGGTTTCATGTCCTTTTCCAGTTTACATTTTCGTGCCCTCAAATGTTAGATACGTGAGGTTTGTTTGTTATTTTATCTGTTCCTATCACACCTGTGCCCTGCCAATGCTCTCTGCCTGCAGTAGTGTTGGTACAGGAGGTGAAGACATCCTCCTTCCCAGCACACCTGGTTCTCACTTTCTTTTTGTGCTCATGTGGTATTAGTTAGGCATGTGGTTGGTGGCCCCTGCTTTATGTGAAGAGATGTGTCCTTTAGCTGCCTGCCATGTTGTGAAGTATTGGCAGATTTTCACCAAGGAAATAGCCTGGAATGATTTTTTCAGCAGATGCAGTTTTATGTCCCAACTGAAAGGTAAAGAGAGAAAGAGAGATTTGTTGAGCAATAGCAGAATGCAACCAGTTTCCAGTATATACCTGAAAAAATGTTTTTAACAAAACTGCAAAAGGCATTGTAAGAAAAACTCTTCTAATCATTACCTCTAATTTTATAYCCATTATTTCTTTAAAAGTAAGCCACCACATTTTAAAATTATTTAAATAACATGCAAATAATATTTAAATTATGTATAGTGACTGCTGAAGTTAAAGGAAAGTTTGGTCTTGACTTGAGAGAAGTCACTAACAAAGCAGCTGGAAACATGCATTGTTGACCTGATTGATGCCAATAATTTCTCCTACAAATTCCAGAACATTTTGTCTTCCTTTCAGTTTTTATTCTTTCTATGCTTATTTTCATTAGTTTATTTCAACTTGCAAGGATGAGTAGAAGTTGGAAATTAGGGAAAGTTTTTTTACTTCTCTGCCTTTCTGAATAATTATAGAACACTGAAGTCTTTTTCTGTTTGCTTAGGTCTGGAGAATTATGGAAATAATTGGTGCTACTTTACCGGGTCAGGCTGTAGCTCTCGTCCTGTGACATGCTTCTCCTAGAAACACGTCATGCTGTGTATGCACACAGAAGCTAACSTTTATAAATCCATTTGTGTCACAGTAGCATATGGCACAGTGCTTAATTCTTAGTGACTTTGCAGCAGAAATTCTGAAATATCCACCATATGTGGTTGCTGAAACCTCAGATATGAACTGCTGGCTCTTCCTTGTTTTCTGTTTCTTTTGAATGAAGCCTCCATCAAAGATTCTAGCTTATCACCCAGCCAGGTTGAGGTACTCCAGGATGTTCCCTGAGGAAGAAAA